TTGACCAGTAGCTGGGTGTCACGTATTCATCCGCTTACAAAAATGTGGTTAATGACATTTACTGTCCACACAGGAAAAGTTGTGCCGAGCAACAACCAAATCCACAGAAGGGTTAATGCTGAGCAGTAATTATGCAAATGAGATCTTGTAACTGCCTTTGGGGTCAAAGGCCGGTTACAGCCTATCAGACTTAGAGGAGGGGTATTTAGGCCCAGTTCTCATCCTGCTCAGTGCCCTGTCGTGGTTTCCCTTGTGGTTGTCCGAGAGCGTGTTATTGATTCTGGTTATTCTGGTTATTTGACTTTGGCATTGTTTTTGACTTCCCTGTTTTCTGGCATCCCTGACTCCTGGCTTTTCCTTATCGTTGTGTCTCTTTCTGTTTCCCTTGACCTCGGCTATTCCTGACTATTCTTTGGTACGTTAGTCCGGCCAGTCTAAGGTCCGGTATACGTTACCTATCAGTCCTCTGTGTTACACAGTTCTACGTGCTGGATCATTCTGTAATCCTGACATTACAACATAGATCCTGTAGAATTGTGTAAGCACATAGCTGCTTGCGAAAGGAAACTGGAGGATAATGATCACTGCTTGGATCAATTTGCCCAGGCTTTTAGTACGCTTCTTACTCGTACAGCACATCTACAACCTGTGGCTGCTCCTACTGTGCCACCTCTGCCTTGTGTACCTCCGTCTATAGCAGGGGTTCTCAACGTTAGTCCTCAGGACCCCCTACCAGTCCAGGGTTTAGGGATTACCTGGGTGTGTCTCAGGTGTTTAGAAAAAGAAAAGAAAAACACCTTAGAGTTTAAGGTGTTTTTTTCCCTTTTTCTAAACACCTGAGACACACCCAGGTAATCCCCAAATCCTGGACTGGTAGGGGGTCCTGAGGACTGGGTTGAGAACCCCTGGTCTATAGTATACAAGGTACCAACTATCTCTCTATCTCCTCCTCTGCATTTTGATGGTAATTTCCAAGAATGCCGGGGATTCCTTAACCAAATAGAGTATCATTTTGAGGCCTCACCGGGATCTTTTCCCACAGACAGAGCTAAAATTGGTTACCTGATGAATCAATTAAAAGGTAAAGCTTTAGCTTGGGCCAATCCATTATGGGAGAGTAATAGGAGTGTGGCACACAATTACCAGGAGTTTATTACAGAATTTAAACTTACGTTTAAACCATTAGGCAGGGAGGAAGACGCCTCTACTGCCCTGATGCATATCAGACAAGGGAACCGGTCTATCTCGGAGTATGCCATAGAATTTCGTACCCTAGCTTCCGAGGTAGACTGGACTAATAGTGGGTTAATCTCTGCATTTAAAAGGGACTATCTGAAACTATGCTAGATAAGATTGCCGCCGAAGACTTACCCAAAAAACTTAATGAATTTATCACTTTTGTCATGCAAATTGATAATAGATTGAGAACCAGAGAAGCTACTAGAAACAAGACCAGACACATGAATATGCCTTTAGCACCCCACTTCTCCAAACCTATTGTCCCTGAATTTCCTGTACAGTCCGAACCCGAACCCATGCAGTTGGGGGTCACTAGACTGTCGGAAGCAGAAAGACAATATAGGAGAAAAGAAGGATTATGTCTATACTGCGGTAGGAAGGGTCATATGAGAATCAATTGTTCCATATATCTGGAAAACTGCCGCACCTAAGCACCTTAAAGGGAAACTCCAGTACCAGGAAAACAATCAGTTTTCCTGGCACTGCAGGTTCCCTCTCCCTCCCACCTCCCAATCCCCGCTTGCCGAAGGGGTGAAAATCCCTTCAGTCACTTACCTGAGGCAGCAACGATGTCACACGTCGCTGCTTCTTCCTCTGCGCCGCTCTTCCTTCTGACTGCGTCGGCCGGTGGGCGAGACTGATCCCGTCCACCGGCCGAGGGAGACCTAATGCGCGGCAATGCCGCACATGCTCATTAGCGCTCCCCATAGGAAAGCATTGAAAATGTATTTCAGTGGGAAATGAGCGACGGTGGACGTCCTCACACAGCGTGAGGACTTCCAGTGACGCTCTAGCACAGGTTTCCTGTGCTAGAAACCAGGAAGTGCCCTCTAGTGGCTGTCTAGTAGACAGCCACTAGAGGTGGAGTTAACCCTGCAAGGTAATTATTGCAGTTTATAAAAAACTCCAATAATTACACTTGCAGGGTTAAGAGTAGTGGGAGTTGGCACCCAGACCACTCCAATGGGCAGAAGTGGTTTGGGTGCCTGGAGTGTCCCTTTAAGGGGACAGGTCTTAGGTGTAATGGAAACGTCCTCTGGAAAGGATAAAAATAGGTTTCTCCTTGATATTTCTATTGCCTTTGAAAATAACTTTTCATGCAAAGCCCTGATGGATTCCGGTGCCGCTGGAAACTTAATTGACGTTCAATTTGTTAAAAGTAATACTATACCTATTAAGGAGAGACTATCACTCCTAGCTGTTGAAGCTATTGATGGGAGACCACTCTCACAACCATTGATAACGCATGAAACCTTACCCATTAATATTTCCATTGGTGCCTTACATAAGAAACAGATTACATTTTAGGTTATTGCATCCCCTTCCTGTCCGATCATATTAGGCTTTCCATGGCTTAACAAGCATGACCCTCATATTGACTGGGCTAATGGGGAAATATTAGAATAGGGTAAGGATTGCTATGAAAGGTGTATATTGAATGTCGCCAAAAGAGTGGGCACTATTGAATTATCCACTAGTACACCTCAAAACCTGGAAATTTTTATACAGTACCAAGATATTAAAGAAGTATTCAGCAAAAGTCAGTCGAATACTCTACCTCCTCACAGACCATATGACTGTTCCATTAATTTACTAGCCGGCGCTATGCCACCTAAGGGAGCAGTCTATGCTCTGTCACCTCAGGAGAGTAGAGTAATGGAGGAATATATTAAGGATTCATTGAATAAAGGCCACATACGAAAATCATCCTCGCCTGCTGGGGCAGGATTCTTTTTTGTATCTAAAAAGGACGGTGAGTTGCGCCCATGTATCAATTACAGGGCATTGAACAAAATCACCATTAAGAACGCCTACCCCATTCCTCTTATTGCTGAATTATTTGATAGACTCCAAGGTGCTAAAGTATTTACTAAGCTTGATCTTAGAAGTGCTTACAATTTAGTGAGAATCAAGGAAAACCATGAGTGGAAGACTGCATTTAATACCAGAAGTGGACACTATGAATATCTAGTGATGCCATTCGGGTTGTGCAATGCTCCAGCGGTTTTCCAAGATTTCATAAATGATGTACTCAGGGATTACATTTACTCGTTTGTCTTGGTCTATCTGGATGATATCCTTATTTATTCTCCTGACATTCAAACTCACCATGCTCACGTTAGACAAGTTCTGCAGACCTTGTTAAAGAATCAACTTTATTGTAAATTAGAAAAATGCATCTTTGACCAATCTGAAGTACAGTTTTTGGGATATAATATCTCTGCCTCGGGGTTTCAGATGGATCCTAAAAAGCTGGAATCGGTTCTACAATGGCCTTTACCCACTGGGTTGAAAGCCATTCAAAGGTTCATTGGTTTTGCCAATTATTACAGAAGGTTTATAAAGGGATTTTCTTCAGTAATAGCCCCCATCACCAATAAGACACGCAAGGGGGTTAGCAGTACGATATGGTCTAAGGAGGCTATAGAAGCCTTTGAAACTCGCAAACAGCGGTTTGCCTCTGCCGACATATTGATACATCCTGACAACAGTAAACCTTTCATACTAGAAGTTGATGCATCAGAGACAGGGGTAGGGGCAGTTCTCTCCCAGAGGGAGAGCCAGGATACTCCATTGCATCCTTGTGGTTACTTCTCTAGAAAGTTGTCGCCTGCCGAGCGCAATTATGATATTGGCAATATGGAATTGTTGGCCATTATTCTAGCTCTCAAGGAGTGGCAACATCTTTTAGAGGGTTCCAAGGACCCCCTTTTGATCATTACTGATCACAAAAACCTGGCTTACATAGGAGATGCTAAACGATTGTCTTCTAGACAAGCTAGGTGGTCTCTGTTTCTTTCTCGCTTTAATTTTCTTATTACTTATAGACCTGGTTCTAAAAATGTCAAAGGGTGACGCCTTATCCAGACAGTTTGATACTGAGTCTATACAAGAGCAAGAAAAGCCCCATATCATTCCCCAGGAATGTATCATTGCTTCCACTATCCTTTCATTGTCCTCTCCGCTGCTTGGTTCCATCATGGAGACTCAGTCTCAGGCGCCCTGTGGTAAACCTCAGGACAAATTGTTCGTTCCATTGGGGGAAAGGGTTAATATCATGAAGGTGTTTCACGACAATGTGTCTGCTGGTCACCCAGGTATTAATAAATCCACTTCTGCTATCATGAGGTCATTCTGGTGGGATTCCCTCAGGAAGGATGTTAAGGAGTATGAGCAGGCTTGTTCTGTTTGTGCGGTTTCCAAATGTGACGAAACGCCTTTTGTCACCGGATTTTCCCCTGGCTGTTGGAGGAGCCTGATTGCCAGCCTCTTGCCTCATGACTATGGCCCTGGGTTATTTGGCCCTTCAAGTACAATATTTGGGCATATTGGATTTGTATGGTGCTGCTGCTGGCCCTTTAAAAACCATCCCTGGACATATTATGACTTTTAGGAACAATGTCCCTTTAAGACTGTGTAGATTGCATTCAGGCGGTCTGCAATATTATATATGCTATTATGTGTTCGGTAAATTGGAAATGTGTAGGTTCAATGTGATAAATGTAACAGTATGTATTTTTATGTCTTTTGTTGTCCTTTGTCTGCCATGTGGCTAATGGAGTTTTGCCTCTGTCCTTGGAGATAATTGCATTACTTCTCAATTATCTCCAGAATAGAAGACTCTGAAACCAGTTTGGGCCAGATATCCATGCTGCCAGCCAGGCCCCAAAAGATACTTGTGCTAACTTCTGAACCCCTGGTCTGATTCAGGCCATTTTTTAATATGTTGTTCCCCTGAATGGATTGATTGTGAATATGTAGTTTTATGTGAATGTGATGTATAGTTTTAGAGTTATGAAAGTTGGGTAAAAAGTGTGTTTTAAAATGTATGGATAATTGGGTTACCTCTCAGGCTAAGGGGAGGAGATGTGTGGGATGTAACCATTGTGTGATTGGTTGTACTGTGTCCCACCCAGTGGGATGTCCCCTTGCATGGGGACCTGCATAAAAGAAGGTTCTTTGTGTGCCAATAAACAGATCATCTTGTACCTTCATGAAGTTTCGGCTCATGTTTGGGGGATTGGAGAAACTACACTCTGGGGATTGCTATAATCACTATACTCCCCAGGGTATAATCACTAAGCTCTGCTAAGAGCTTGTTCCTGTTCCTGCTCTCTGGAATTCGGAGAGAGGTCGACCTGCTGGAAGCTGGACCCTGGTCCTGGGTCCAGAGTGGGTGGAGACGGTGAGATCCCAACCAAGCTGCGGCGGTTCGTGGGGTCTGCAGTGGTTATGGTGTCAGGCAGAGTGCTTGGAGTCCTCGGAAAGCACTAGGAGCATCCGTCGGCGGAAGGTACCTGGTCGGGGTGCCAGCGGTTCCGTTACACCAAAGTACCTCATAAACTCCCTTGTGGCTTGTTACAACCTCTTCCCGTTCCTGAGGTCCCATGGTCCCACTTGTCTATGGATTTCATTGTAGAACTTCCTAGTTCTAATGGTTATACCACTATTCTCATGGTTGTTGACCGTTTTTATAAAATGGCTTACTTCATCCCTCTCAAGAAATTACCGTCATCTCAAGACCTGGTACTGATCTTTATACGTGAGATTGTCCGTCTGCATGGCATTCCTCACAATATTGTATCTAATAGAGGTTCTCAGTTTGTATCCAAGTTTTGGAGGGCTTTCAATAAGCAATTGGGGATTGAATGGTCTTTTTCATCCTCTTACCACCCCCAGACTAATGGTACAGCTGAGAGGGCTAACCAGTCTTTGGAGTTATACTTGCGTTGTTTCGTTAATAGCACTCAAGACAATTGGTCCGAATTATTACCATGGGCCGAGTTTGCTATGAACAATGCTGACCATGACTCCTCTGGGCATAGTCCATTTTTTGTTAATAATGGCCGGCATCCTACTGTCCTACCGGCTGTTTTTTCTGACACGGCTATTCCTGCTTTGGATGACCGTTTGGCTTCCATCCGTGATACCTGGGTTAAAGTTCAATCTGCTCTGGGTACTGCTGCTGACCGTTTCAAGCATTTTGCTGATAAACGTCGAGGTGCCAACCCTGTTTACCAAGTGGGTGAGAGGGTTTGGTTATCTTCTCGTAACATCAGGCTCAAAGTCCCTAGCATGAAATTTGCTCCTAGGTTCCTTGGACCTTTTCGTGTCCTTCGTAGGATCAATCTCCTGACAACCCTGATCTGGGTGACCAACTGTCAGGGCCATTTCTGTTCTGTTCTGTTGTCTGACCTTGGCTTCTGGTATCCAGTATTCTTTTTACAATTCTTGTTTAGTTTTTCTTGGTTTTTCTGGTTTTCTATTCTGTGTCTGGTTTTCTTTATGCTGGGTTTTCTGAGTTCATTCCTTTATTCCGTTCCTGGAATTCCAAGTCTCCTGGATTCCTTTATATGTTTGTTTTATGTTGCCACACCGTTTCCTTTTCCATTAATCCTTTTGTTTCAGTTGGTTCCTGCAGGCAGTTGTTTCATGTCCTCTGCCCCTTTCTTTGCAGGTAAGTACTGTGTGTGTTTTTCTGTTGTTTATTTAGTCATGCATATCTAGGCAGTTAGGACACACCATACTTGGAGTTCTTTGGCACAGAGTTGGGCTGCATACATCTTAGCCATTTATGTATGTCTAAATCGCCAGTGTTTTACAAATATAGTACTTAGTTATGTCTCCTCTTATTTTGCCTTATATCTCTTGTCTCTGGTTCTGGGGTCTTACTAGTTTTGTCTTGTTTTCTTGTTTGGTGCCTATTCTAGTCTTATCTTGTTTCTAGTACTGGATACATATCAGCAATTCATCTGCTCTGGCTTCCGCTAAGCTGCATCAGGGTCTTGGTAAGTGGCCACACAAATGCTGGTACTCAACACCAGGGTGTGTGGTTACCCTGCGCCAGGCCCTACTTAGCCACTTCCACGCTGAAGACTCCTCTCATCATCTACATCAAGCACAGGCGGTTCTTCGGACCGCCACCCTGACACCAACATGTCCCAAAATCACCCAGATCAGTTCAGGGGTTCAGGAATTTCCTGAAAGTCACATTTTAACCGACCGTAAGCTTGGTCCCATGCCCAAAACAGTTCCAGAGAATCAGGCTGTGCGGTCAGTCTACTTCGAGGATTCATACAACAGTTAAAATATCGAACATGAGAGTTCATATTGGCACTTGTGTCAATGTCTATGTGAGTAGCTTCTGTATGTTTGTTTGTTTGTTTTAAAAAAAATCTTTTTCGCTTAACCCTTAATGAAAATATTATGCATTGTTGGGAACAGTGTTTTCAACACATGGTTAGTTTTATAGTTTGCAGGTTAGCTTTGTAGATTAACTTTAGGTGTGGGGCTTGAATAGTTTTGCTTAGTTATGGTAATTTGTATTTGTATTGGGCTTTGGAGAAGAGGTTAGAGTTGATAGATAGCTGCTGGATCCAAGGAGATACCTGACTGCCATTTTGGGGTCAAGAAGGATTTTTTTCCTAGTTTGTTGCAAAATTGGAAGCACTTCAGACTGGGTTTTTTGCCTTCTATGGATCAACTGCAAAAACATTTGTGAGGAAGGCTGAACTTGATGGACGCAAGATGCTTTTCAGCAATGTAACTATGTAATATGTTGCTGGTTCAGGAGCTTATTCCCGCCGAATAGCCAAACATCCATGGAAGGTATGTGTCCAGCGGTGTTCACGCCATCGAGTGTCCGATTTGAGTTCCATGCACTTGACTCATTGTGATCCCGGCTTAAGATGGCTGCTGCCACGTGTTCGAATGCCGCTTCGAACCGCTTCAAGAGTTTGGGAGTTCGAAGTGCCACTTCGAACCACTTCGGAAGTTCAAAGTGTTACTGTACAAGTCCAAAAATGCACAAACAGCGGTTTTAACCAAGGTTTATCACAGGGGCCATTGTCACACGGTAGGAGGCTGGCAAACAGGCCCCTCCAAGAACCCATGGCAAAGTTACTTTTTCCACAAACTCTAACTCTAATTGTTCACAAATTCATATGTGCTTGCTTTGCCCATCAGCTGGGACCAGGGTAACCAGTCACAAGATTAATTAATGTATCACTGATTGGCAGTGACAAATAGATCACTATGGTTTTGTTTTATCCTCTCCTGAGGGACTCATGGAAATCCACCTCCTAATATTGGTGGCCTGGCAGCCTCCTGGCAGACATGCCATACCTAGATTGAGTACCTAGCTCGAGACTTTTAATTATGTAAGTTTTCTTACTCTCTCAGGATCTCTCCGTATCTTCTTATCTCTAATTTCCCACTCCCTCTCAATTACTAACCCTCTTCTCTTTGGATTTATCCCCTCTTCTAACCCCCTCTCCACTTCTCGCATCATTAATAGAATTTCAGCCATATGTCCCTTATCTCCTCTTTGTCCATATGATCCACATTCGAGGGTTGAATGTACCAGAGTGTTGGGTGAGGCTCCTTTGAGAGCTATGGTTGTCCTGCCTAGCAGTTACCCTGATCCAGGAGAACCACTTCCGACAGGGATCCATGTCGATGCTGTGGGATAGTAGATACACTTCTGGGTTCTTTGTTCTCATGTCACCTCGGACAAGTCGGTGTGGTATCTTTTTTATGTCCATGCCTTTTACCCTGCTGGTTCAGAAAATTGACCCGCAAGGTTGGTACCTTTTCAGCAGGGAGCACATCGATTCTCATATACACCTTTGCCATAATTTATTCACCCAACACACATCAACACATCTTCGTAACGTCTGCTTTGAAAATTTTAACTGATTTTACTTCAGTAGTCATACTCAAAGGAGATCTGAATGTCCCTTTGGAGTCATCAAGGGACACATTGCATGGCTCTAACATGGTTCCATACTACAGCATTTGTAATATCCATACAGCCCTGGCATGCTTTCATCTGGTCAATTGTTGGAGAGCTTTGCATCTGGAGGGGAAAGATTACAAATACTAATGGCACATATTCCAGGATCAATTATATATTACTGGCTCAGGAACATCCTCCCTCTACTACAGAACACAGATATTGGGGTGGCTTCAAGGTCGGATCACTCTCTAGTTATGCTTTTAATGCGGGCTCCGCTGTTTCGGCGGCTGAAAGACTCTGGAGACTTAAGGAATTGGTTTTGTTGGACTGGGATATCTCTGTTACAGTCCACGCGGCACTCACCACCTATTTCAAAGAGAATGTCAAACCTAAAGCCTCTCCAGTTACTATAAGAAGATCATAAGAGCATAATCTGTGGACAATTTATCTCACTCTGCACATAGTGGAAAAGGGTCCAATCTGATCAAATGAAACGATAACAACATTTGAGACTCGGCACAAACAAATATTATCTGACACTAACTTCCGAGACCTGTTACTTGCAAGAAAATAATTTATGTTGATGGAGACACATTATCTATCCAATTAGCAGTCACATAAGATCTTCTCTGAATGCTTGAATAAATTTTGCTGATTACATGCATGAATGCTGAGGAAAAGACAAAATGTTTTGCATATAAGCAACATCAAGTGTTGGACCAGGGGTTTTTCCCCCTTTCCAAAGGCCACTTCATTCCATAAGTTTTACACCACTCTTTATAACATTCATTTGGAGAAGTCTCCTGGGCATTCTGAAACCTCACAAGCCACATAGCAAACTGATTGGATCCTGAGGTGGCATCCCGTATGGATGCCGAGATCACGCTGGATGAAGTTCAGGAGGCCATCAAGATGTCCAACACGGGGAGGACTCCGGTACCGGATAGCTTTTCCCTTAAGTACTACAAGGAATTTGGAGAAGTACTGCTGCCACACATGCTGGTCACTTTTAATGCTTTGGCTGAACAGGGGTGGCAAAGTAACAAATCCCTAGCGGCATATATTCTGGTGCTCCCCAAGGAGGGGAAGGACCCAGAGTGCTGCTCCAGTTACAGACCCATCTCTCTGCTAGTACACTAGTCAACCATGATCAAAGTGGATTTATCCCTTGTAGGGAGACAAAAGATAACACTATCCGGCTTCTTAATCTCACCCACCTTGCACAATCAATGAAGAGGCTGATGATCATCCTCTCTACTGATTTTGAGTACTTTGGTCTACTGATTTCAACTTTGATCAGGTGGAATGGTGGTTAATGTTCCTCACACGCTGGGAGACGGGCTTTGGGGAGAAACTGTGTTAATGGATAAAAGCTAGGGATGCACCGAAATTTCGGCGGACCTATTCCATTTCGGCCGAAAAGGCTCAAATCTGCCAAAAATCATTGGGATTCTTCACCCAGTAGTTACCAAGCCGCCTTGGAACCGCTGCAAATGTCCGAGTCCTGTGCTCTGTCCTGTCTGTGACCGGACCGTGCACCGCTGCTGCGCTTCTTTGTACCCGGAAGTGCTGTATGAGCAGTGGGGTAGCCTGTTGCAAATATATATCCACACCACGAGCAGTATGTAAATTAATTTATTAATTATATTCTGCCCGTGCCAATATGCCCAAAGTCCTTTGTCCAAGTCCCTAGTCCCCTTATGCATTTCTAAATCTGCTGACAGATTTCAAAATGAGGGACAGATCCTTGGGAGTTATAATTTGAATAGCATTGGAATTGGAATTTAAATAGCATAAACAAATCATTAGTTAAAGGGATAATAAATATATATCCTAAATTAATTCATCTAAAGTAAGCTTGGCTATTTTATTGTCATTCTTGTCATTCACTTCTCAGTTTGCTATTTACTAAGGACCAAATGCAGGGCAGATTAACAAAATTAGGTTAAAAAAAAAAAGTTCATATTTACTAGTTGCAAAACCTGTTGAAATATACAGGGTTATTCACTAAAGGGAGAATTAAAAGTGAATTTCAATTAATTTAAGGCCAGAGTAGCTGAATGGAAAGCATAAGCTAACTCAGAATTTTTCTAGTTTGGCTATTTTCATCATATACTTGAAATTCACACAATTGTATTCCTAGCATTATGGTACCCCCCATAAGCTCATTGAGAAGCCTCTGATTTGACCTTCTTACCGTCTCAGAGCGCAGGGGAGTGGGAGGGATGATTGGGAAAAACAATTAGCAGAGGGTATAGGGAAGTGGAAGGGACTTAAAGAGGGAGGGGCTACACGATGTTCACCCTTGCAGGCTCAGTTTGCAGAGGTGAAGCTAATCACATCAGTTGCAACTTGCCAGTGTGCAGTGCACACTGAAGACGGACTTTAATTATGGACCAGATCAGCCTAATGCTCATATTTTAAAGGTCTTTTACCCCATCAATTCAGTTTAAGTTTAAACTAGCAGCTTTGAGTCTCACTGTGTGTATAATATCTATGTATATTTTTATAAGTAAATAATAAAAAAAAGTAAATTTTTAAGTTAGTCACTTTCCTTTTTTTTCTTTTTTAATCTATAGCTGAGACATAGTTTGGAAATATTTCAAAGTTTCTGATAAAGACATCAAATGTGCAGTCTTTGTTCAGCTGAAATTTCGAGAGGGGGTACAGTGTAGAGGCACTTTTCCTAAACAGGGTTGATACACCACCTGAAAACACGATATCCAATTCAGCATGAAGAGTACAGAAAAGTAACAATGCTTAAACGTACCCCAACTACTACTACTAGCTCACTAACAGAGAAAATAATGGAATTTATTGCTTTAGATGGCCAACCATTCTCTATTGTGGAATACATTGGATTTCATAAGCTCATACAAAACATTGAGCCTCATTACACACTGCCAAGCAGACGCTATTTTGCAGAAACCTGTCTACCTGATATGTTTGACAGTGTTTCAAAACACATTCATGAGCTCATGACCACAGACATCCCAGCTATAAGTTTTACCACTGACATTTGGAGCTCAGTCCAACTAGCATGCTCATGGAGTGTCTGGCCATTGATACAATGATGGCAGTAGCGGATGAAGGTGTACGCTTCCATCCAACTGACATGCTCTTGAATCATACTAAACTTCCAGTGTCCGAATGTAAGAAATCCTTGTTGGACCACTTATTAATGGTGGGCCACTCTCTGATTCGGCCAATTGGCAACACCTGGATCCTCTATCATTCCATTCCTGGCTTGAGTGTGTTAAGGAGATGCGTCAATGCAAGGAAAGCACCATAATGCTGAAGGGGTACACTGATCGATACAAGGATGTGTGGAGGTTGTGGCAGTACTACATCAGTACAAATGCATAGTGAGCCATGTGAGCAGAGAGTACCGAGGTGCGTGTTATGAGTACCAGGGTTTTGCCCCTGATTCTGCCAACCATAACCCTTCTCTTCCTGCTTCCTTCCCTATTTCCATCCCTCCATTCTCCGCAATCCTATTTTTTTCTCCTCTCTTTCCTCTACCCTCTCTTTCTCTCATGCCTTATGAACTTCTCTTATCTCATATGCTGACTGTCTTTTGAACAGTAGTGACTCTCAACCCAACACTGATTCTCCAGGATGTTACACACATAACTTGAGGAATAAATTACACAAAGAGGGTCTCCTCACAGCTGTTGGGCCAAAGTTGGGTGAAAAGTTCAGCTGTACGTAGGTTGACTTTCTGTTGCATTGAGTGATATTGTTATAATACGCCCAAATGTTTACACCTCTCATGAAAGAGCCCCAATTTTTACTCCTATCCTGAGCACATGTTATTACCGTTACAACTACTCTGTCTACTGTCACTCTACCATGTTGAAAACAATCTTAATTAAAGATTGTAAAAAAATTAAATATATATAACATGTAAAGATTATCCTTGCAGAACATACATACTTTGAAGTGGTACAACTGTTTCAAAAATAGATATTTTTTTTTCTTTCATTTCAGAAATTTGTAACGATGAAGGAACTTATGATTTCAAAACCATTGTAGATGATGGAGAGCCTGTTTATGTCACCTGTCCTTTGATACCTGACCCAATAGAAAATAATTTTAATATTTCCTGGTATAGAAATGGCTCCCAAATTCAAATCAGTTTTGATAATAAGTTAAGAGTTCATCAAGATGAATACAATCTCAAGTTTATTCCTGCAAGTCTGGAAGATTCAGATTATTATATGTGCATTATCAGGTAAATTTATAAATTTCATCACTGTCCATCTAAAGTCACATCGCCCA